GCAATTTGATGGGTCTTAGTGTATCTACAGAGGTGTACCATATCACCAGGATTAATTTCTAAACATTTCTGTTGCCTCAAAAAGAAACCCTGTACCTGTTAGCCATCACTCCATTTCTCTTCAACCTCCCCTGCCTCCCCTACCTCCCCAGCTGCGGGCAGCCGCCTATCTAATTTCTGTCTCTATGAATTTCACTATGTTGGTTATTTCATATAAATGGATTTACATAATACATGGCCTTGTATGTTTGGCTCAGGTCAAGTTATTCTTCGATTATAAATGGGTGCAAGTCTTAAATGCTGGTGGGATGAATGAGTTGGAACCTTTGCCATGAAAACCACTTGCATCTTGTTATTATTTCAACATGGCATCACAAAGAGTTACCACAATGTTCCTGCATCACGTGGGCTTCAATAAGTGATGATGATTGGGTTCTGCATGTGTAGACCAGCTGCTATAATTCCACCCATTGTTGTAGAACATGGGTGCTCTATACCCCAAGGACCAGCTGGTCCATTCTGTTGTGGCTTCCCATCGGCCAGGGCCCTGCCTGACCTCCACCTCTCTTAAGGGAGGATGTGTCCACTCAGTGGTCAGCCTGGCCAGAGGTGCTCTGTGATGTGCTCTCATATTCTCTGTCCCCTCTGCTACCACCCTATGGGCCCATTCCTTGTGCAGATGGATCTACATTCTTCTGCCAATTAAGTGGTGTATTTTCCCCTTTTGATTTTTCTTTTCGTATTTTTTTTCTCCACAAATTCCTACTTACCCTGAAGCTGTACAAACTGAAAAGGATAAGGCCACTCAGGTGATCTTCTATAGGTCAAAGAAGATCAAGTTCTATCCCTCCTTAGTGGTAAATAGAAGAGCAAGTGAGAAACAAAACCAAACACTGGAAATAAGACAATTGCTGAATTCAATGAAATTCCGTATATCATCTAGACACTTGGTTCCAACGTGTGTTAACTATAGGACTTCACAAAATTACAGTTATCTCGAAGGAGCCAGACAAAATATAACCTGACCTGGTAATTTTCTGGCAGATGATAGTCTCACTCTCTTTGAGAGACAAGGGAAAACTACATTTATACAATTAATAATCATTTTCACCTGATTTATTCCTGGTTTTTTTTCTGCAAACATTATACAATGCTATGTTTTATACATAATACAAAGAAAAAGATGTACTGTTTCTTCTAGAAGGCACATTCTGAAAGAAAAGAAATCACCACGTGTAAAAGAATGTATTATAACAGGTCTTCTTTATTCCTTTCCTACTCACTGCTCATCCCCATGGCCTGTATACTCCTAGTTATGTTTTTATTCTCTCTAGGATCATTCCTAGCTATTTGTAATGAGTTCGCTATACCTGTCCATTTCCATTTGCCCAGGGTTATGTCTTCTCTTACTTTGATTTTTCTTCTTTATTTTCCGCTCCCACAAGTGTGCCTTCATTCCCCCCTCCTCCCGCCATGCTTATTGTTTGTCAATCTACTTCTCTTTCCTTCATTTTCTCTCTAGCATTTACTTCCTTCCAGTTTTCTGATATAGAGTCTTCAGTGCTTGTGTTATTTCTTGGCTGTATGATCTAGTACCTGTTATAGGGTGACCAACCATCTGGTTAGCTCTATACTAAAACCCCTCAGTCCTAGGCAAACTAGGATGGCTGATCTCGCTACTTAACAAGTTACCTGGGAAAATAACACACTGATACTAACGTAGAGAGGAAGAGTAACTGGAATTAGTAGCATCCTACTGTGTTGCTATTGCTTTTTATCTTATTTTTTTTTAATTCTTATTTTTTTATTGCATTTTAGGTTTTGGGGTACATGTGCAGAGCATGCAATACAGTTGCATAGGTACACACATGGCAGTGTGTTTTGTTTGCTTTCACCCCTTCACCTACATTTGGTGTTTCTCCCCAGGCTATCCCCCCCCACCTCCCCCTCCCACTGGCCCTCCCCTTTTCCCCCCAATAGACCCCAGTGTTTAGTACTCCCCTCTCTGTGTCCATGTGTTCTCATTTTTCATCACCTGAATAATTGTTGGAAGAGAATGCAAATGCAAATAAAACAAATAGGGGTTATAACCAATTATTAGCAAGATTCCGATGACCCGTGGGAGCAGAGAAAGCAAGTATGTGAGTAAAACAGACTTTGAAGATGAGTGTGAGAGACTGAGTTGGTCATTAGAGCCATCAGCTATAAAGTCTGTGTGCAGCCTGAACTCCTGTGTGCTGCACTCCAGGAGAAAATAGGATGCCTTCTGCACTGAGGAGTTTGACTTGGATAAAAACCATTGTACTGACAATATAGTCTACTCTAGAGTAACTGACAAAACAGGGGGAGACATTGAGGACCTAACAGCATGGTTCTTCCTTCTCCTGGGAAGCATTGTTGAAGCTGACTAGTTGCACCAGGTTGAGTTACAGCATTGGAGAATTACCCCTGGAAGCTGAGTGGGACCTCTCTCTACCAGGGGCTCAGTCTGTGGCTGTCACTTGTCTTCTTGCCCAGAGCTTATTAGGGAAGTAACGAGCTGTAATTCTTGGCTTAAAACACGGGCTTCACTACTCCTTTCATTCTACCATTTAAAGGGCCATTCCTCTTTCATCTTCAGATTGGCTTTGGACTTCCCAATCTCCTTGGTAAGAGGTGATGCTATAATCTAAGTAATCCCTGCTAAGATGTTGTTGGGCCAGACCCCTGTTGACTATAATAGCGATGATACCATGTCCTAAAGGCCAAAAAAGAGACCCAGAGACATTGAATGAGAGATAGTGCTTATATAGGGGACACATACAGGGATGGTTCAGTTGTGGTGTGCTGGACAGGAAAACTGCCACTATTTGTAAAAAGCACGCAGCTTACATAGCATTTTCACTTAGCATCCTCTACCTAGCAACCTCCGCTTAGCAACATCTAGGTAACCGAAAACAAAGGGCCTCCATCTCCTGTATGGCCTGCATTGTAAGGGAAGGGCCAGGGATTCAGATGTCCTTCATATATAAGGAGTGAATCTCCACTTTGGCTGCTCCCAGATTCCTTAGCCTGGAACTCTGAACACATATTCTTTTTAGACTATAGGGCCATTCTCAGGGTATGCTCACATTAAGTTACTGCTGTCAGGTGTGTCTGCCATACAGCTGACAACTGATGACTGAAGCTATTTTTAAAAGTCATATGAAAAAAGGATTAGTTGTCCCTTCACTTGCCCTGTGAGAGAGTATGTCCTGCATTCAGAGACACACAATAGCCATTTGACAAATTTGCTAAGACCATTCTGAATACACGATAAATTATTTCATAATACACCCATTCTAGTGGAAAGTATAGAACTATGAGATTATTATTTGAGATGGAGTCTCACTCTGTCAACCAGGCTGGAGTGCAATGGTGTGGTCTTGGCTCACTGCAACCTCTGCCTCCCAGGTTCAAGAGATTCTCCCGCCTCAGCCTCCCAAGTAGCTGAGACTACAGGCCTGTGCCACCATACCCTGCTAAGTTTTGTATTTTTAGTAGAGACAGGGTTTCATCATGTTGGCCAAGATGTTCTCCATCTCTTGACCTTGTGATCCACCCACCCCAGCCTCCCAAAGTGCTGGGATTACAGGTGTGAGCCACCGCTCCTGGCTGAACCAGGAAGTAGAATTTAAGATTCCCAAGTAGTTACATGGAAAATCAGACTGAGCCACTCTTTCTTGCCTTCATCATTTGGCAAACTGCCCTGAGCATTCACTGTGTACTAAGCACCCTGCTTGCTATTACAGATAAAAAGATGGAAACAGTGCAATTCTTGACCTCAAGACACCTGTGCTAAGATTTCTAGACTAGATCATATGTATCAACAAAGAACTGTAATGAGGGTTCCAGGTGCTACTGTATAATCATATTCCGATCATAATGTAGGCACTAAGAAAAGTGTGGTCTGCTGAGAAAGATGGTTTCCGGCTTCATCCATCTCCCTGAAAAGGACATAAACTCATTTTTTTATGGCTGCATAGTATTCCATGGTGTATATGTGCCACATTTTCTTTATCCAGTCTATCATTGATGGGCATTTGGGTTGGTTCCAAGTCTTTGCTGTTATAAATAGTGCTGCAATAAACACACATGTGCATGTGTCTTTATAGTAGAATGATTTATAATTCTTTGAGTATATACCCAGTAATGGGATTGCTGGGTCAAATGGTATTTCTGGTTCTAGATCCTTGAGGACTCACCACACTCTGTTCCACAATGGTTACTTCCCTCTGAGGCAGGGGAGGGTGGCTGTGGCCTCTTGAATGACCTAGCCTACTACCTCTGGAGGGTAAGATCTGTGATTGTGGTCATTTTATACATTATTGTATCTGTAGCTCTACCATCTTGCACATAGTACGTGCTCAGTGAATAGTGTTGCCAGAGGGCATGGTGAACATGAAGCAATGCAAGCAGTTTAGCCCAAAAGTGGGATGGAAAGGGGATTATAAGTGCACTGGCTGTAGAGGTAGGGGAACAGCATGTCTAGGTAACAAAGCAGGGCCAGTGGAGAAAGGGGAGGAATTGAATTACTCCCAGGTTCTGATTGGAGTCATTGAAAATGGGAAGGAGGGTGATTAATCTTCCCATTTTATCAGGGACTATCATGGTTTTCTTACTGAAGATCCCTCATTCTGCAATAGTTTATTACTGATATGGCTTGGATCTGTGACCTCACCTGAATCTCATGTCAAATTGTAATCCCTAATGTTGGAGGCAGGGCCTGGTGGGAGGTGACTGGATCATGGGGGCAGAGTTCTCATGAACGGTTTAGCACCATCCGCCCTTGGTACTATACAGTGAGTGAGTTCTCAGGAGGTCTGATCTCCCTCCTCTCTCTCTTCCTCCTGCTCTGCCCATGTAAGGCGTTCCTGCTTCCCTTCCCTTTCCACCATGATTGTAACATTCCTGAGACCTCCCCAGAAACAAATGCCAGCATCATGCTTCCTGTACAGCATGTGGAACTGTAGGCCAATTAAATCTCTTTTCTTTATAAATTACCCAGTCTCAGGTATTTCTTTCTAGCAATGTGAGAACAGACTAATAAAACAGGAAGGATGGTGGTACCATTCACCCAGACAGGCAATACAGGATCAGAGTGTGGTTGGAGGAAACATGGCAACAGCTGCTAACTATTGGTGACTAAGGCCATTCTGAGCTCACAGCTGAGGATCAACTGAATGAAATCCCCCACATTCTAAATTCCTAGAACCACAGCTGTTGGAGTGGGCCGGCCACACCCTGACAAGGCTTGCTAAGAGAAATCAGGAAGCAGAACCAGCATCACCACCTCTCACCCTAATATTAAGTGAGGCTGAAAGGGAGAAGGCCGTTGCCTTTTATAGAAGTACAGTGCTCTTTTAGGATGATTTGTTCCCCAGAATGGTAGGAGGTGGGTTGCCTCCCATCCTCAAAGCCAAGGATAAGAGCTTTCCAGAGAACCACTCACAGGTTTGTAAGTATTTGATGTGCGTTACCTGTCTGAACAGCTGAAGGATGCTACGCTCACTATCCATCCTCTGTGCCACCACAATAGAGGAAAAATACATTGGAAAGAGATGGCATGATGGGGGACTGCCAGGCAAAGCAGGGATCAAAACTGTCTTCACCTGAGGTCATGGTATCCTGGAGGTTTGAAAGGTGGATTCCACAAAAACCTGAAGACCCAGGAATTGGCTGTGGTGAGTATACCATATCTGGGGCCTTGGTCTTGTCTGGCTATGCCACAATATTGGGTAAAGAGAGGCACACATCAGAGGAATGAGATATAAGGCCGCCAGCTCAGAGGCTGGGCTTGAGTTGAGAATAATTCTCTTATAAGGAACCCCTGGCATCTAGAGTTGCTGGGTGGGAGCAAATCTTTTGTCTGATGATGTTGTCTTCTCTCATCTGTCCACACTAACACAGGGCAATAAGCTGGGTCTCACGGGGCACGTCTCCCTTCTATTTTTCTCTCCCTGGTCATTAACAGCAGGAGGCATCACAGACTTACAGGTTCTGTGTGACCCAGACCACACATCTATTCTGCAGGGAATAGGAGAGAAGGAGAGAGCCTTACACTGAATGTGAAACTAAAGATTTAAAATAAAATCATTGGATCTTAAGGTAGTGAGTCTTTTTTTTTTTTTTTTTTTTTGAGACAGAGTCTCAGACTTGCTCTGTCACCTAGGCTGGAGTGCAGCGGTGCTATCTGGCCTCACTGCAACCTCCGCCTCCTGAGTTCAAGTGATTCTCCTGTCTCAGCCTCCTGAGTGGCTGTGATTACAGGTGTCCGCCACCATGCCCAACTAATTTTTGTATTTTTAGTACAGACGGGGTTTTACCATGTTGGCCAGGCTAGTCTCGAACTCCTGACTTCAGGAGATCCACCTGCCTCAGCCTCCCAAAATGCTGGGATTACAGGTGTGAGACACTGGGCCCAGCCATCTTTTTATTAACAGGTAGCAATAATTATTCCAATGACTAAAAGTGACCAAGACATGATATGGGGCTGAAATTATTAAGGAAGTCTGCTTTCCATAGAAAACAGTATTTTGACCCAGCAGTTATTGCCATGTTGTGGGTAACTTTATAGAGAGGCCAAGGTCGTGAGAAACTGAGGCCTTTTATCAACAGCAAGATGGACTCCCAGCCCCTTCAGATGTGACAGCTTGACCGTAAGAGCATAAGAAATCCTGAGATGCAACCTGAAGCTAAGACGCTCCTGGATTCCCAACCCGCACACATTGAGAGATAATAGACGTTTGTTGTTTCAAGTTGGTAGTTTTGGGGTCATTTGCTATGCAACAATAGGTAACCAGTGATTGTGTTGAGTTGGGCCAAGGGGACCAGACATTTACACTGGACTCATTTATTAGTCATTGGATGCAGGCTGTGCTGGAAGGAAGCGTGACTCTGGACTCCTTCAGCCAAGGCAGCCCCCACAAGAAGGCAGTCAGCTGAAGGCTGTTTTTGGCCAAATTCACAGCAGCTCGGTGACCAAGTCCTTTATTGCTGAAGGGGGGATCTGGGCAGTTCATCAAGTGGTTAGTTGGAGGCTCTTGTGAGTCTCCTGAAAGAAGCTTCTAGGTGATGCCAAGGGAGAAATCGGAGTTTGAGGAGCCTGGGAGCCTTGCTTCATCTTCTATTTCCCTCTTGACCACAGCTCTCCTTTTAAATGGTGGTGTTTCCCTGGGCTTTATCCTTGACTCCCTCTTACAACTGTGAGAAGAAGGGCCAGGGAGAGCAGTGTCCATCAAGTGGAGGAAGAAGAGGGCATTAGGACGACAGTCGTGGTCAGTGAGTGCTCGCTGAATGTGTTGGCTGTGGTCTAAGGTGAAACCTGACAGCACACACAAGGGGAGTGGTGGAAAGAAGCTTAACAAAGGGACTCCTTACAGAATTGAGGTCAGGCTGAGGGGCCCCAAAAGGGACCATAGGACTCTTCCCACCCCTAGGCCTGTGGGGGTTAGAGCATGGAGTGGGTGCTGGTACTAGGGGAGGGCTATCTTCATGGAGAAATCTGACTGTCGGATGAAGCCATGACCTTCAGAGAGAAACACAAGCCACCGAAGGTTGGTGCTGCCCGTAAGTCAGCCTCACAGGGCACATGGCAGGTGAAGGAGGGCAGGAAGCTCATGTGCAAAGGCAAGAATGACAGGAGTCAGCAGACAAGAGTGAGAAATGTTCATGGATGATCGTCTCTTAATAGCAATTTAAAATGTGAATGTCTGGGTACACTGCTAAACTTTCGGGATGATATCAAAGAAACGAATACTCTCTTTTTCCATAAGTATTCCTGGTGCCACTGATGGATCCTAGCTAAAGAGACCACTGGTCTGATTCAGTGGAGTACTACTTTCCCAGGAAGTTATGAAGTTCCCTAGGACGCTGTATCAGTGTTGCATGTATCAGTGTTGCAGATGTGTCAGCTGTGGTAGCGTACTACAGTTTTGCAAGATGTCACCACTGGGGGTAACCAGCTACAGGATACAGGCTATCTCTGTATTATTTCTTATGACTGCATGGGACTCTATAATCATCTCAAGATTAAAAATGTAATTAAAAATTAATTCACTTATTCTACTTGAACGAGTTAAGAACATGCTATCCCAAAGTATGCTGCTCTGGCATATTGGCTATTTTGAGTTTAGGCACTGAAAAAAACAGCAGGAAAAGAAGATCACTCGGCCCTTCCTTTTGTTTTTTTGAAAGCAAGAGGTGAAATTCCAAGTGAAAGATGCCCTCCTTATACCAGAAAGAAGGTATTATTCTTATCAAGGACAGGAAATCTGTGCAAATGAAACTTGTTAAACTCACCCTTATTTTCCTAGTCACCTCTCTACCCAATTAACCACCCTAGGCCAGGCTCTTTGACCTTGTCACATTTTCATAATTCGTGACTCTTTGTCTAATTCAATATAAGCCTTCAATGCTGCATCTTTGAATCTGCATTTCCTTAGCCAGGTAACATGTGTATTATATTTGTATGCTTTTCTCCTGTAGATCTGTGTTCTGTCAATTGAATTCTTAGGCCAACTGAAAAACCCTAGAAAAGCAGAGGTCAAGTTTTACTCTCCCTGCAGCCTTATAATTAAATGCGAGGCTTTAAGCATCAATATAGAGTTCCCCGGTCATGACTGAGCTACTTAGGATTCCAATTTTACCAGAATGAAATCTTTGAGTTACTTGATATGCCATGACTTGAATTTTATTTCTGTCAAACCCGGCTGTCGTTGTGTTGAATAGGAAGAATAAATCCAAGGCCTGGGAGAGAGGCCTGAGACCTTGGAAAGGCAGTAAACAAATCGTAATTGGACCTGCCTCATGTGCACACAGGCCTCTACCTCTCCTGCTGCTCTTGTGATAGAACTCTGCATGGCGGGCTGTTCTCCTACAGAAAGATTTGGAGATCTTACATGCTGTTGTTCTCAAACAGGCTTTTCAGTTCATGAAATTAACTAGCTAATTTATCATTGGAACAAAATAGTAATTTAAAAAACAAATCCACATTAACAGGCTGTTTAGGGGGAACAACAGCTGCTCCAAGATCCCAGAGGAGGAGGGAGTGTTAAAATAACCTGATTTCAAAGATATTTCTAGATCAGAAGCTTGATGACCTATTAAATTAAAATGAGTGTGTGGAATATGTAAAGTTTCCAGGTGCATTTTAACCCCCAGATTTTTTTGGTTTTTTTTTGCAGACTTAATAAATGGGGCTGGGAATGGTGGCTTATACCTGTAATCCCAGCACTTTGGGAGGCTGATGTGGGAGGATTGCTTGAGTTCAGGAGCCAAGACCAGCCTGGGCAATATGGTGAGACCCCGTCTCTTTATATTAAAAAAAATATTGGTAGGCTAAAGTTACAGAACAAATATAATTCTTGGTCCTGTATACAAAACAACTCTCAGTGACAGCATGCTCTTTATTCATATCCTTGAAGATCAGTTTAAGTAGTTCTATTTTAGGGCAGGATGTGTTTCATGCAGCATGAATTTGAATGTCTTTTTTTTAAAAAAAAAAACGCAATTGGAACAGTCAGGACTGAAATTTTATCTGTCTTCTCATATGAAAGTAGTATCAGTAGCTTATTAAACAGCACTAGACCAGGAAATACAAGGGTACTATAATGAATAATTCTAAGCTCATTATGATCTCATGAACAGGTTCAGATTCAGCACAATACTGGAACTGATTAACATCTATGGCACAAAGTGCACATCTGATCCATTTCAATGGAGCCATTATTTAGTGTGACACTGCACTGCTGAATGCAGCCATGTTTGTGGAAAGACAGGAAGTTGTCACAGGGCCAGGAGCAGTGGCTCACGCCTGTAATCTCAGCACTTTGGGAGGCCAAGGCTGGAGGATTGCTTAAGCCCAGGAGTTTGAGACCAACTTGGGCAGCATAGTGAGACCTCTATCTTTAACAAAACAGAAAAAATAAAAAATAACTAGAAAGTCATTACAACTTAATTTTATACCAGAAAATGTACTACCAAGACCCATAGACATATATAAACATGGCCCCTAGGCATAGACACTTAAATCTTTATCACCCGAGAAAGATGAAGGTCTCAGGCAGAAACACAGCTCCTTTGTTAACTAAAACCTCTTGTTACATCTGACCCCTTAAATTATCCCACTAATTACATTTAAATAAAAAATGTGGAACGAATTAGACCCAATTGAATTTAAAACATGGTTTCTAATACAGATGGATGGCATTTTGCTAGAATCAGTTTATCTTTAAATTTCATTTAGCATTGTTAATGGGATTTCTCTTTAACTCTGTTTAACCTGCCAATCATCACAGCGAATTGCCAGATGTCCTACAAGGTAGAATAAACTTTCTTGGACCTTGTTTCAGGTCAGGTATCATTGGAAATTTCTCTTTTTTATTTTATTATTTTTGAGACAGAGTCTCCACAGGCTGGAGTGCAGTGGCATGATCTCAGCTCACTGCAATCTCTGCCTCCAAGGTTCAGGCGATCCTCCCACATCAGTCTCCCCAGTAGCTGGGATTACAAGTGTGTGCCACATGCCCAGCTAATCCTATTTTGTACTTTTTGTAAAGATGGGATTTCGACATGTTGGCCAGGCTCGTCTCGAACTCCTGGCCTCATGTGATCCACCTGCCTTAGCCTCCCAAAAGTGTTGGTATTACAGGCATGAGCCACGGTGCCTGGCCTAAGTTTCCTT